ATCTAAATATTTTGAGTATCTTGTACACACGCAGCTACATACATACATACATGTATGTTTGCATACCTATTTATGTATGTACATCTGTTCATACTATGTATACATATGTACTTACAACTTTTAGCTTCATTCGCGTAAGTAAACCTCCCACCCCAAACCATCAGCAGGCGTAGAAGAAAGCCAGTAGTAACAGAAACACCACAGACTTTGTGGCTCTCAAGACTCGTGACCAGGGCTACCGACTTGACTCAAACAGTGCCATTTTTGGCCCTATTTTACTTCAAATGGCACTTAATTTTTCAATTTTGCACTTTTGAAAAAAGGTAATATTTTGCTCAGAAATTTTTTTTTTTATTTCTATAGTGTATACAACTGGTTTATTTTACCCTTTATTTTTCTATTTGGCACTTTTTTATCCTCAATATGACACTTCCTAGCTACGTATAGTTGGCAACCCAGCTCGTGATGTAGTTTGGTCGCAGCTAAAGAGTTATGGTCTGATTATGGCAAATTAACGTAACTTACAGGCTCTCACTTAAAAATTCTCTTAAATGGATGTTACTTAAAGCTCAGTTAGTCTAGACTTAACTTAATTTAACTTACCATAAGAAATCATCAGCGATTACTCAACACGTCCAGAAGCGGAAATTTTTTTTTTGTGCCACATCACAAAATCCACGCAAAAAAAATAAACAGGTTCTTAGTTGCTTGCGGTAAGTTTTAACTAAGCGCCAACACAGTTTGTCATATAACAGGTTGGGCAAAACATTAAGTTAAGTTAAGTTACAAAAATTAAGTCTAGACTAACTGAGCTTTTATAATTGAACAGCCGAAACTTAACGTAACTTAATCCCACGTCGAATACTGTTTAATTTTGATTTTCTAAGTTCTAAGTTCCGTTAAGTCAAGTTAAGTTGCCATAATCAGGCTTTTAAGGTGCCACTATCATCAACACCTTTTCAGGCGTTGCAGTCTACAATCGACGAGCTGGTTTGTAGTGCTCTCAGGGATGCCAGGGATGCGTGCAAATTGCTTCACTCCAATGGAATTTTAGCTTTGTGGGGATTGGGTTAATAGTTGCAAAATTAAGGCAAAAATAAATATTTGACAATAATATCACACGCATTTGTATGTAAGTATGAATAAATATGTATATCGTTACCTTAATAAAGAAAGCCCTATCTCACATCGTCGCAGAGCTACCTCCTTGACGAGCCTGGAGGCGACCGTTCTTTTGGAAAGGGCCCATATGACCGCCTAGCTATCTGAAAATATAACTAGAAAAGCGCCTTTTAGGCCCTTCTCAATGTTCAATCTGGCTCAAATTGAGATTGCTAGTACCTCGGCCTGAAAGACCGTGCACCAAGTACCCATGGCAATAGAAAGTTTGGTGCAAGGTCCAAGGCTCCTGCTCTGCGCTCCATATTTCCTCCGTCTGTGTAAGAGTTCACTAGTTCTAGTAAATCATTTGACCAGATATCTCGATCTGGAATTTTGCCCTGAAATTTCCTCCCAAGGCGCGTCGGCGAACTCGCACATTCCTAGGCCTGGTATTTTCTCAAAATACCTTTGTGTTGTGTCTTGTTTTTAAGAGTACTGTCAGAATTTTGCATTTGCAAATTCCTCGAAGCTGCTGCTGCTTGGACAAAAATGTGGTGTGGGGTTAAACCTAGGAGCGACTCTTAAGGCCGCGGTTGAACACGTTCTCATTGTAGAGCCATCCTTTACAGTGTTTTCAGACGCGAAAAGGGCAGTTTTTTGCAGTGTTTGTGGCAATGTTAAACTGAAAAGTCTTCCATAGGACCACATGGCCCTTGTGGCTTTACTAAGAGTTTTGTCTAGCTGGAAATTCCAGGTCGTCCGCATAACCAACAGCATCGTAACCACTTTCCTGTAGTTTGGTTAAGAGATCATCCACGACGAGAGACCAGAGTAGAGAAGAAAGAACATCTCCCTGTGGGCACCCTCTTGTGGCTCTATTTCTTCTATTCTTTTATTGTTAAGTTGGATAAATTTTTTTGAATTCTGTGCAAACTTTGAAACTGTTATTTATTTTTTCTTGCAGCGGGTGCAATTTTGCTTGTTAACGTTTACGTTTACGTTAACGTTAAAATCTGAGTCATCGCTCATGGCGATTTTTGTTTTACATAAGCATCAACGTTTGAGTCACTTCTACGCACTATTCAACTGAGTTTTGCTCCATGACTAAGTTTGCCAAAGCCTGTTGGTAGTACCAATTGTCTGAAAAATAAATAAAATAAAACATTAAGCATATCACAAATAATTGCTGTTAAATATCTGAATCACCACCTTTTATCACCCTATTCTTTACATTCGCGGGGCCACATTTAAAAATACTAAACGGGAAATTGAGACAGTGTTGGCAACCCTAGTTACTCTTTTCCAGCAAATTATCTGCAATAAGCGAGTCATACAAGTATGTAAATATGCGCTCACCCATTTTTACACGCTGCTTTAGTATCTATACAATGGTTGTTGAACGATCTTTTAGATAGCCGCTTTTCGTTGTGTATTCTTATTATTATTTTTACGTTTTTTTTTAATTTTTTTCATTTGCCTACATGAGGAAGTGCGCGTATGTATATCGAGCTAATGCGCTGCTGGTGAGCTACGATCAGTTGAATGGCAAACCTCGTATGGAAAAGTACATGAATTTTTACGTGATCGCTTTTTTTTTGTTTCTTTCTTTTACAAACGGCAAAATCAAGTTTCGTTAATTTATTGATTGCAGCGGCGCGTAGGTTGTAGTTTCGGAAAAACAAATTAATAAAATAAATAGGTATACAAATCGGAACAACAATGTGCAATAAAAAAATCGAGCTTTTTTGATAATTCGTAAAAATTTGAAATACATAAAAGAATTAAAATTATTTTTCTGCTTCAAACCGCCAGCGGAAACAAAGCTTTTGTTTACACATCCATTCTGCGTGTTTGTCGCTCACAAGAAATATAAAAAAATTTCCACACATAGGTACTTATGTATACTACGTTCTGTGTAGCTGCTACTTAGACGTGGATATGCATATATATATTTTTTTTTTTGTTGCTTTGGCATGTTTATGATGGACAAACAAAATCAGAAATCGAAAAAAAGCAGCGAACAAAGTGAACCGCTGATGCGAATAATAATAGAGTAGACTAACAAACGAAACATAAACAGAAATAATATTAAAAAAAAAAAGTTTTGTGGAAAAAAAATTTAATTACAAATATTGCAAATATCCACTATTTCTTATCCCCCAAAATATCTCGAATGATAACTCATTTAAAACATTAATTTACGCATGAAAAGTGTTTGGGATACAAATTATGCCTCCTCAAAAGATTGCACCAAAAGAAATTTCATAACAACAACAGAGAATTGCACTGAAAATAAAAAGTTGCAACGTGAACAAGTCCAGAAATAACGACGCATAAATTTTGTTATATGAAATACCGAGCGTGTTAGCTAGAGAGTCATAATAAGCAAGGTAATCTCAGTGGGCGCGCTTATCGTAGACAGTGTTGCCAGAATCGCACATTTATCTTCAAAATTACTTATTTTTTAAAAATATCGTCAAAATCTTAAATTGAAGATATTCAACCAAAATTTCATATAAAAAACCTTCATTATAAAGACGTCCGGCAGCGCTTGCAGATTTTCCAAATATGTGGTTTTAACATCAGATTAATTAAAATAAAACAAAAAAAATTGGAAACAAATAGAAACCACGACTTTATGCGGTATTCTTTTGGATATACAGTAACTCAAATAAGTGTTCACATGTTGATTTTTTTTTTTTTCAAATATTGGCAATATCTTTCAAGGTATTTTTCTATAAAAATATTAAACAAGCTTTAGCCAAAACCTTATATATAAATCTAAGCTTCAAACTTTATACAAAATTTAGAAAAATTTAACAAAATTTCGAGCTTTTTAGTCTGAATGATTACAAAATTTTTGAGTATGCAGTTTTATAGCCCATACGTTTCAACCGACTAAAAATTCGCGTGATATTCGTGAAGAAAAATTAATTATAACAAAATAGAAGCAAAAAAAGTCGGAAGAATTTTATTCATTTATAACTGATTGAGACTGGAATATTTTCTATCTAGAAACATCCATTTAATGTAACCTCATATCGAAACCCCTATCTCCTCGGCAGCCAGTTCGAAAACGCCCTATATGAGAAAACTTTTCAAGAACACCCTGCTTCATAATTTGGTTGAAGAGCGCCTTATCTCAGAAACTCGGTTCAAAACGCAGTATCTCAAATGAAAATATATTAAAAATGAGTCTCCCGTCAAAAAAAAAAAATGTTTTCTTAATTTTTTTAGTTTTCTGATTTTTGATAATTTATAGCCAGTTTCACGAAAGTAATTTAAGTAAAAAATCATTTTTTTTAGTTGAATTTAATATGAAAACTGACAGAAGGCGAAAGATCATTTTTTACTTATTCGGGTGATAAACGGGCCCGCTTATTTGCATAAACAGCCTTTAGTTGTATTAACTCATGCATTTTCCTCTTGCAAATGCGCATAAGCAACCGAACAAATGTACGAAATTTGTTTGGGAATCAACTCGGATCCGGGGCATTTTCGATGACAGCACTGGTAAAAAAGGCCAGCTGTTGTCTTTTGTACAAGTAAGCAAACAAAGAAGCCAGTTTAGCGTCCGAGATAGCCGAGTGGTGAGAGTCGCCAGGTTCGATCCTCGGTTGGAGCGATTGCCAACAAATTTTTTGTTTTTATTATTTATTTATTTTTTATTTATTTATTTAATTTCACTTTACTTTGTTTTCATTCGCTTTATTTTATATCATATTTTTTTATTTTACTATTAGTTAATTTAAATTTTTAGAGTTGAATTTTATTAAAAAGTCAACAACTAACTGAAAGCAACGTAAAAAAATATAGAACTTATAAAATAAAATGAATAAAAATGAAATAAATGAAAATTCTACTCGATTATGCGTATTTATGTGCTAGTTTATCTGCATAAGCGTGCTCGTCTGTCTCGCTTTTTAAATTGCTTGTAAAACCGGCAGTTAATGGTCGCTTGGCAACACTGATCGTGGATCGTGAAGTTTATAGTGAGCGTGAGCGATCTCTCAGAGATACATAGAGAGAGGAGGAACAGATCGCCAGAAAGCGTGTTTCCATTGTGTGTGTTTTTTTTTGTTTTCTTTTTCATGCGCCCACCGAAAGCTTTATGAACGGGCGGGTGGGTGAGTGTATAGGCCGGAGTGTCAACAGCTGAAACTGAGTGCTCTAAGTGAGTTGAGCTTGTCTTTATAAATTTTATTTTTCGCAGTTTTCTTTCATGCCATTATTTGTTTTTGTACAAACACAGCACATGATAAGCGACCTACCCAGCTGATAAGGTGTAACACAATTACGTACTAGAATTTTTTTCCATAATTATATCACCTTTTTTGCCTTCGCTCAGCTATTTAATAAGCGTAAAAACGTGTGTTTTGCTCGTAAATTGGGAGCGTTTCAACGCTAAGTAATTCCAGTTAGACAACACCTACCCACAGAGACGGTTCGATTCTAGATATTCACACGGTGAAGTGAAAATAGCAAACGGCGGCACATTCCAAGTTGTTGTTTTTTTTTTTGTAGTGTCAGAGCCTTTTTACAAGTGACGCAAACAAACACACGCACACATACAAGCAAAACAATTACGAACACTTATTTAATTAAAATTACTCACTTTACTATATCTATCGTTCATTTAACGCTTATCAGCGTCGCTTCAAAACGTTTACTTCATCAGTTGTCGGTTCTGTTACTAAAAATAGCGTTTTGCAAAGACTATTCCAAAAACAACGTGCCCGTTATTTATTAATTAAACGGAATAGTATGCCAGATATATTACAAGACTTTTTTGAGATACAAAATCCCATTGGAACATCAATGGCAACAAATAGTAGCGCTGGCGCAAATGCTATAGCAAATGGCAGCAGGAATTTGAATGGTAGCGGCGATGGCGATGGCGGTGGCGGTGGCGGTGGCGGTGGCGGTGGTGGTGCCGCTGTTGGAGACCGTGGTGGTGGTGGCAGAGCTATTAGCAGCGTCAACACTCTATCCGTGCCTGGTCAGCAAGAGATGGTTCATCAGAATGGCGCACTTACAGAGGCACCCGCTCAGGGTTACAAGCGTAAGCTGGAACATAGGTAAGTGCAAATTTTGCTGATAACTTTTTAATTTTTTTTGCTTATAAAATTTGGTTTTTTGGCACTACAACCGTTTGTCGGTTTTGGTCCGAGACAAAAAAACTCTGCCACTTTTCTCTCTCTGAACTGGCGAAAGCCCGTTCATGCCGAATGCAGACTGGTCCTTTTAACCTTCCACTTTGCCTTTGCTTTCATTTTCTATTCAATTTTAACCTTTTCAATTCGATTTCTTAGACGAATTTTGAGTTTCCAGTTTTGTAGCCCACTAATAAGGGGCAAGTTTCAAGTCTCTAAAAATTACCGTTGATTTTTGAGAATTTTTTCGTCAAGGGTGTTAAGCATTTTCTTCCATATAACGCATGAATAAAATCTATTTTTATATAGAAGAAATTGAGCAATACCCTCGACTAAATAAATTGTCAAAAATCAGCGGCAATTTTTAGAGACTTGAAACTTGCTACAAAATTGCATACTCAAAAATTTTCTAAAATTCGAATTGAAAAGTTGAATATTTTGATGAACATTTTTTTTATTCCTTGAATTTTTCCGAGTTTTATATGTCTAAAATTAATTCTGCTGGTTTTTGCTATTGAATGAACTATATTTTTATAAAAAAAATAATAAAAATTTCTAAAATTTTCCAGTATGTCATTAATATATAAAATTAATAAAAAAAACTTGTCTATTCCGGTATATAAATAAACTAGGTGAAACCCCGGTTTATTTGATTGTTAAATTCCGGTTTACCCGATATTCGAAAAATAAGGATTTCAAAAAACCTGTTGAAACCGGGTTCGAAAAACCGACTCAATCACCTTAGGCAAATCATCAAGACATTAAATCATTTAATTGAAAGTACATCCATAGCTGCATAATTGCGTCATTCTTATTCGAATCACCTGCTAAGCGAATACATATTTAAAGCTTTAACAATGAATCATCCCTTCCTTTTGCTTTATACTTCATTCCCCAATTCGGTGCAATACGTTTCGCATACATCTACATATAGCACAAATTTAGCAAACAATTAACAAGAGCAAACTTGATGACGTTGTGGAAAACATTTTTTTTTAACAACAGCAGTCAACGCGAGTATTGTGAAATTGGATAATAGCGCATTGAGTGAAATAAATTTTTCGTCTTTCAATTAGTTTGGTTTTCACAAAATCGTTGTGCTGGAAAGTTTTTGTTAAAATATGTGTGTTAGGGCGGGTCAATTTGTATGGAAGATTTATGCGCGTATAGCATAGGAGGATTCTACATGTAATTCTAAGCAAATTTGCCGATGAAACCATGGGTCTAAAATCAATTTAGATTTTGTTATGCTATACGCGCATGGTCAAAAAAAAATTGACCTGCCCTAATGTACGTATAGGTAAATATTTACACAATATTTACATAAAAAAAGCACATGTAGAAATCTTAAATATAACTGCTAATTTTCACGCCAACTAGTCATTAACTCATTCTTAAAGGATATTTGCATAATCCAGCTGAGTATACAAACAGTTGCGTGCAAGTAATCAATAGCGATGTGCTAGAGTGAAAACACTAAGTGATTACTGAGAATATTTATATAACCTGCTGAACCACCTGATAGCCCCAATGAAACAGAGGAGATCCAAGAGTACCGCATCCGATATCTATGCGGATGCGAAGAAGTAGTTTGTGTCTTGGAAACCGCGCCCGCATGCTTTATTCCATCCCTTGTCTTAGAAATTGAACCACCGAGTGCGCTTTACATTGCACAGAAAGCCGAAAATTTTCGCTTTGTTTAGGTCAGCTAAGCAATCTAAAACCGGCTTTTTGAAGAATTGGTTGCGCGCCATGGCCAGGGTGAAACAGTAGCAGAGATAGTGTTCGATACTCTCCACCTCTTCGTCTAAAAATCGTTGGTTGGTCATCCCAGTCTCTTTCCATGTGTCCCATAATGCAGTGTCCGGTTATTACCCCGACTATTACTCTTAGAGAGGAGCGGTCTAGCCGAGTGAGGGCTTTAAATCGATTTACATGAACTTTGGGCCAAACTTATGTGGCGGTCTCACAGGTGGCTTCCACGGCCTAGCTGGTATTTACCTCTCCAATTTGTTTAGTCTTTAATCTGTGTTTGCAGGAGTTTAGGGGTATGTATGCCCACGTCTTGAACAGAATTGACCATGAATATTTCCGTCCCTTTTCTATTGAAGTCGTCTGCCATGCAATTGCTGCAAATATTCCTGTGTCCAGGGAACCATAAAATAGTCACGAAGCTTTTATACGCATGCATTCTACATTCTGCTTTGGACGCTGTTCTGTTGGATTTTAGAGAATTATTAGCAGCTTGGCTGTCAGAATGTTTATATAGTGATAGGCCGTGCTGGAAGAATGGAAGCTGTACGCCACCAAGCGGCATCCGCAATGGCGCTTAGCTCTGTCTGAAAAACGCTACAGTGTTCCGGTAAGCAATAACTGAGATTAAGTTCGAGTTCACTGGCGTGAAACCCGCTGTCTATTTTTTCGCTTAGTTTAGAACCATCTGTATAGAAAGCCATCGACCCTGAGCAAAGGCTTGTGGCGCTTTCCGATTCGGGCTATGCATTGCTGATTTCCAGCTCAGTTTCTTCGGATTTGGCAGCCAATCTTTAGCTGTATCAATAAACCGGTATTGCACTGCCACCTCGGTAGCCATCGTGACTCATGTCTGTATGCGCTTTCCGGCCGTTTTGCCACAATCGCTTACTTGAATCGCATTAATTGTTGTCTGTGCAGAGCCCCATCGATCGTCTACCCACTTTTTGGAAGCTCGTGATACAGGATTTCTTTCTTGTCCCACCGAATGCTCAGTATTACCTTGCTGCCATGGATATTTAGCTTTGGTGTCGCTATTCCGGAATCGAGTGCTTAACATACGCCTTCTGGCGCTTTTGATTATTGTAATGAATCCATTTTTCATCGCCGGTGAAAGAACAATACAAACCTGGCATCACTTTGTACCACTGAAGGAGCATTTGGGAAACAGTGATACGCCGTTCGCCTTATCTTGGATTGAGTTCATGAGTCACCCAGTTTCCGTGTTTCTGGACCATACTAACCGCCCTCAATCACCATTAAAGGTCTTGTTGAGTCACGCCTAATATCGCCGCAAGTCTTTTTGGATTTGGCACTGGTCTTCTTTTACTAAAGTTGCCTCCAACTCGGCGTCTACAGCTTTGATGGCCTTCCTTTCCGCGCCTTATCGGTTGTGTCAAAATCACCACTTTTGAAACGCCGGAACCAGTACTCACAGTATTGATGGAGCGTGTTCTACTTAGGCCTCAAAGAACAGTCTTTGATTTCATTTAAAATTTATTTGTATACCTGTAGTTCGGCTTAACAATATTGGCAATTTTCATGAATTCTACGAAAAGGTCAAGCAAGAGTAAGAAACACTTTTTTTTTGTCGCCCAATGAGTGGTTGAAGTGGGCGAGCGTCTAAGGTAAACTTTATCTGATAAGAATACACAGGCACTCGCCTGATAACAGCGGCTTTAATCTAACTTAAATTGTTTACTTATCTAGATGATAGACAACAAAACTGAAGAGTTCTGACGTTTTAATAGAGCTGATAAGCTTAAGTCTGATAAGAGCTTATCTATTTATTTTCGAAACGCCTCTTTGTTAAAAACTGCCTACTGCTACTCGTACTACTAAATCAAAATCAATCTGTTTGTAAGTACTAAGAACTTAAGTGTTATCGTAGACCTTGAATTTTCACTGCGAAATTAATAGCCGGTATAACTTACAAAATTAGTTGCCGTTGTGAAAGATGCAGATTACGAAAAGTACGAAAAAGGTAGTAGGCAGCGGACGCAAGCTCATTAACTTTTTAAACGGCAGCAAATTTCCTAATTACAGTTTTCTTGCTTTGTTACTAGACTACCAAAATTAGTCGAATTTTATTGCTTTGTAATGTCAGCTGCTGCCGCTTTTCGACGCGCTTCCTCCCCGCTCACCAAAAAAGCAAGTGAACTGAGTACCCTAATTAGCATCACTGCACCTGCGACTTCCGCTAGGATGTTTTTTTTTTTTAACTGAGCGTAAATTTCTTATTAACTGCTATTTATTCGCTTGCTGGACAAATGAAATATTGTCCACCTAAGTTAGCGTTTCCTACAAAGTTAATATTCAACTTTGCTAACAAATCCACCGCAAAGACTGCTTAAATTCTAAAAAGAATAGATGATTAGATAATATTAGAAATGTATTGTGTAAACAAGCGTACAAACTTACATATATAAAAAAAAAATCCACAATACAAACATTAGGGTGGTTTAAAAATGCATGTGAAAAAATAAATCGGAATTTTCACGCTCTCACCCTCTAGGATTGTTCTATACCGAAAAAATTCACCCCATTTTTTTGTTTCGAAATCAAAGCGCTCAAAGTTTTCCATGCATTTTATATGGAAAAAAAACACTTTTCGTAGAACAACAAAATAACTTTAGTATTAAAAAATGGTTAAATAAACCAGAATTTTCTACGAAAAGTTGTTCTTCCCATATAAAATACGTGGAAACTTTGAACGCCATGAGCGACCCCTAAATATTTTTTTGATTTCAAAATAAAATTAACAGGAGTATGTTTTTCAATAGAGAACAATCCTAGGGAGGTAAGAGCATGAAAATTCCTACTTTACTTTTTTTTGGACCACCCTAATGTACATACAAATGTATGTAGGTACATCCAATTGGAAAACGAAAAGGAGCGGCAATAAAGGAGCGGAAATATTTGTTTGTGTCATTTGCCAAAACTTGTAACTTCTGGGAAATTTTGTAAGCCAAAAGAAATTGTGTTTCATTAAATTTACTATTTTCGCTACAAAGGCGAGGATAGCCGGATGTCAGATTGAATAAATTTTGTAGCGTTTGCTTTACTTCGTTTGTTGGTTGACTGCTGTCAAGTGGGAAACTTGTTGACAAAAATGTATCAAATACATTTTATTTATTAAAACGAATAGAAGAAATTTAACTACAGGGCAAAAT